TTCTGATTTTTTATTTTGAGCACTATTGGGAAATATAAGCAAAATTAAATTGCATGGTCTTTCAGTGCAACCATACAATTTTTATCCACTTTGTAACAGAATGGGGGAAAACCTAAGGTTTATATGCTAATCTAATAAAATGGTACAGGGTAAATTATATACATATATGTATGAATGTATATATATATACTTAGAGTAAAAAATTGACCCACACTTCTGTAATATAAAGGCTCATTGCTAGTTGAAAGTGACCACTCTTCTCTGTACATAGTTAACCCCATAGGATGGAATTTTAATTGTACAGAAAGAAATGTATTATTGAGGACATTGGTCTTCTTGCTGCTGGGAAGCTAGTGAAACAGCTAATTCTCTAACAGCTGTGTGATCAGGGATGAGTCAGAATATTTCTTTTGTCTTTGCTCAAAGCCATACATATATAAATATATATATATATAAAGATTATTAATAAATTGAACAGAAAATAAACACGCCATGCATATTTATTCTATCAGTGCACTCTAATCAGATGTTTTATTACTGACCACAGACCTGCCTCTGTCTTTCTCGCATTGCATTGTATGAGTTTCAAGGGCGTTTATACTTGAGAGTTGTCATAAAGTTAATTACAGAGATTCTGTAATTGTAGAACTCAAGGAACTTAAGTGGAGTGTGGTCTTCCAAGCCTCTCCTCTGTTTTACCTCCTCTATGTGGTAAAATTCGAATTTATTTTTTCTTCTGCTCTGCTGCACCTTCTGTGCAGCTCCTGTCCAATTTCAAATCACAGCCATTTTTGTGTTGTTCCTGAATGTGAGAGAGAAGTATTTGTCCTGTCATTTTCATATACAAATCTGTTCTTTTACTGCAGTTGGCCTTTGCAAAGGCTGTGGGCAGTGGTAGAAACTCCCCGCCCAAGTGGGTTTGAGTCAAATATAAAAGCCTCAGACAGAATTTTATCAAAATGAGGCTAGATAGCGAAGCATTCTGGGAAACAGTGGGGCTCACTAGCAGGCTTGGCAGGGGCTGTCTTCATCAGATGTGTAGCCTGTGTCCAGGGCAAGGTGACCTTCCCATGAGCAAATGGTTCCCTGACGCACGCTGCTCCACTTTTACACAATGGTTGTCCTGCAATTTAGCTTAAATGAGCATAATATTTTCAGCACACTGCAAAGTACACAATCAGGTTATTCCAATAGTTCACAGAGAGGACGTGGAAAATTTAAACGGTATGATGCATTTAAACTTTACTATTTTAAAAACTGAATTCTTTATAGATTAAAGTAGAAGTAATATCTACTATCTTTCAGTATTAGTTTTAAACATCCCAATGCATACTTTTTCATCTTAGCATTTTATATTTCACAATGACACTATGTTTATTGCTATGGACCTCATTTATTTAAATATTATTTAAATAAACATTATTCAAATACTGAGCTGGGTAGACAAGGTTTCTGTTCTTTTTCTCCCTATCCTTCTAGATGTCCCAGGAAACTCACACGTGCTCCTGTTTATACACACTACACTACGTGAGATTCTGCTAGTGTTATGTCCCCTTAAAAAATGACCAATGCCGCAGCATCACCGAGACGCATGGCACTTCCGAGCACCTGGGTGCCGAGTCGCTCTAGGCTTCGAAGCTGGTGGCCCGCGCGCGGGCACTGGGGCTCGCGGCGCTGCCCGGCTGCGGCTTGGCCCTACAACTTCGCTTTTTTTAAATAGGCTGGAGCTTTCTCTTTAAAAGACGTGTAGCTGTAAGGTCTTATGTACCTGCTGCCGTCACTTGGCACCTGTAATTCTTTTCTTCTGTACAAATGGCATCTCTTTTTAAAACTGGCAAATGACTACGTTAATCATGAAGAGATTCCCCTGCCTTTAAGAGACAGAAAGGAAGCATCAACGATCTGGCTTAATATATGAAGGATCAAATGCAAATCCAGCCAGAGCTCTCATACTGTTCTCCCCATTGGGAAGGTCTGAGCTAAAAGCAAGCCTTTCTTCTCACTTAGGCCCGAGTGATAGTGTCACTCTGACTATTGTTAGTTTGCCTTATTTGTTATCACACCCTCTCAGAATGAAGAGGAAAAGTCTTAGACCACAGAGGAAATACATATATAATACAGTTAATGTATGTAAGTGAAAACTTCATTTATTCTTTTATAATTTTGCATCAGTTTTTACAAGGAGAAATGTTTCAGGCTGCTTGTTACACTTAACCTAAAAAGCAAGAGGTTCTTTGTATAAGAAAAATTTCCTGGCGAATCCACAAACATTTGTCAGATAAAAACTGATAGGCTTTTCAGAGCATCACAGCAGAGAAACAGACAGAAGGCAAAGGGGAAAGGGGCTTTATTGTCTTTGAGGATTCAGAGAGAACCTGGGTAAGACAAGGGATATTCTGGATTGGAACAACGGGAGGCTGAGGCTCTTATGGCCTTTTGCAGGTGTGGGGCTTGAGGGGATGTTCGGATACACCTGAGGAGCTGACTGGGGCCTTCCCTGAGGTGGCGGGAAGGGTGAAAAGAAACTGCACCCTGGGCTGAGTTGGAGAAGCGGGAGGTGGTCTCTGGGAAGATGCGCTGTTGTTTGAAGGGCTCCAGCCATATTAGATGACCACCATCATGATTCAGCAATTCATAATAGGGCAGGAACCTTTCAAAAACTATTTTACTCTCATTTAGAAGACATGATTTAGAACAAGATATTAGTAGTTTTGTAATAGTTCATTGCATTTCAGTTTGGACTCTTGTAATAAGAAATATTACCATGCCTTTTCTCTACATCAAATCCTATTCTTTCTCGTAC